AATACATCATTTTGCATTGAGATACAGAAGGCTGTCTGCTCACCTTCCCAGAGGGCCTGGCATCTGCTGGCAGGAGGGGCTGTGCTGCTTACAGGCTCCTCATTATGGGAAGAGGCTTGAGGAAGAAAATGGTCCCTTCTGAATATAAAACTGTCTTCTCAGCACTGCAGTGGTGCAGGGCACCCAGATGGCTTCAATTCAAAGGGCTTGGCAGATAAACTGTGTGGCTAGATGAAGGGTCAGGAAAGGGGTACCGGTATGGGGAGCTGGGGTGGAGTGTGAGTAGATAGGCAGGGGCAGCAGGGGAAAACTGGGATGGGGTACCAACACTGCTTGGCTGGGACATTAGTGCAAGGTGTGCCAGGAGAGGGGCATGAAAACACAGGGATGGGAGCCAGGGAACCGTGAGGCTGGGACAGAGGAAAGTGGGTGAGGCAGGATACTCTGCAGCAGACGAAGTATTCCTGACATACCTTTGAGTTGCATGCCTTCTGCCACCAGTGGTTTGGCTTGAGCAGTGGTCCAGCACCATGGAAAGAGGATGGCAGTCTGAGATCAGCGTACCCATGGTCCATGACTACTTATGAATGGCCAAAGGAGGGTTGGTGTAAATGAATACTGAAGCCTCAAGTCTGTGTTTCCGTGTTTCCCATCTGGTAACTGAAGATGACCATTGCCAGCCAGTCCATGTGCTGGAGATATCCTGCAATGAAAGCTGTTGAATTGTAGCTGTGGAGACAGTAGATTTCTAATTACAATTACTGAGATTTCCAGGCAGGCAGATACACAAGAAGTGGCATACCCTGGACCAGTGATGCTGCAGAGTTAAAGATGGATGTGTGCTTGAACACCTGCTAAGTCCCTGTTGTGTTTCATTCAACCACGTTGTAGGGGTGGTGGCTTCTGCAAGATCTTGCCAGAAAGTTGCTGTAAAGCTTTAAAGCACTCAGAAAAACAATGAGAGAGTGTGCTGGATGTGTAACCTATCCTGTCTGCCCATGCTGTCATCACAGTAGAGGAGAAACCCTCTTTTCTGGCAGGTGAAACAGGCTGAGGCAAGGAACCACATGTCATAAGCCAAGAGGAGATCAAGACTCACAGAGGTGGGAATGACTGGAGGTGGCCAGTTCCCGGAGAGGTGAAGACCATCCTTCCCTACCTGGGACGATACTTGAATGGCTGAAACAGATTTCACAGCACCCACCTATAGCCATCACACCCCAGTATCTGACTTTTGTACTAGCTATTCGTTCCCTGTCTTTCCTTTCCATGGTATTTTTCCTTTCCCTTGTCCTGTCCAGAGATAATCCAGGTTTTTGCTATGCTCATGACTTGAATTCTGACCCAAAATATGTTTCCGTGTTAGAATTGCTGTCTGCTTTTGCAGCCTTATAAAGCCATTTCCTGTCAGGCTGTGTTTTAAGGGCACGTAAGCATGGAGGGAGGTTTATTGTAGAGTGGGTTTGCACACTGGAAACTGTTGGTCTTTCTTTCCCCTGTGTACTATATCAGGGCTTCTCCTCTTCTGGTCCAGTGATAGCATCCTTCACCCCAGGCCTCTGTTGGCCTTTTCCTGCCCCTGAGTAGCCTTAGCCCTCAGCTCTTGTAAGTCAGAGCATGTGAGGTGCAGAGCCCAGCTTCCAGTGGAGCTAAAGAAAAATCCATCAGCCCTGGCATGGATCAGGCTTTTGAGACAGATATCTGCAGCACAGAGACAGCGAGGGCTGCTGGTTGGTTATGGAGCGGGGTGGTATTTGCAGCTGGTGGGATTTGTGCTAGTCCTGTCCGTGGCACATGGAAGGGGCTCTAACCCTGGGGAGAGGTTTCTCCTTGCACAGCCCCGCCTGCCTTGAGCAGAGCTCGCTTTGCCTCCATGGCGAGACACTGGAGGACATCATTCCTGGTAGCCCTGGCCCATACGAGGAGAGCTTTTGCTAGCCAAGCCCTCAATGCATGTACTAGCTGCTTTCTCTTGTATCGGACCCTGGCCACAAAAGATGGGAAGATTTAGCATGGTGAAATGGACTTTGCCATCCTTTTCCCAAGCAGCCTTTGCTGCTCTGCCCGTTCTCGGCCCTAGGAAGCCGCTTGCTCAGCGCTCGACGGGTAATTAATGACTTCCCGGGGGTGATCCTTTCTCCCTGGCGGGCACCGCCGGTCCCCTCCCGCTCTCCCCGGGGTCGCGACGGGGTGTCCCCGCGGCGCTGAGCTCTCCCAGCCCGGGGCCAGCTCCCTCCGGGGGCCGCGGCGCTGCGCCTGGCTGTGCGCACCTTCGGGCTGCTCCAGGGGACGCGCTCCCAGCGCCGCTTCCCAGGACTTGCCTTTCTTGTCCTATTTTCTTTTTTTTAGATCTGTTTTCTTTTAGAGCCCCTTCTCCTTTCCCTCTCATAGGAAGAGGAGCGAGGGGGGAGGAAGGGAGAAATATTGTTTGAATTCACAAAGGGGGGCATCTGGTGCACCTTGCGCCTGGCATCTGTGCTACTTGTGTCCCGAGCACCGCTCTCGCACCGGGGCGAGGGGCAGGAGGGGCAGGCGTGCATCTGTTGGGCGCCACAATAAAGTCACAAAACAGAGGCGAGGAGCCGGCCCAGCCGCGCTGCCCTCTCAAAGGGGGACGCGGGGCTGCGGCTCCCAGGTATTATGCGCCGGGTAGGTAGGGCCGAGGAAGCAGCTGCTCCGGCTCTGAAGGGCTGCGCTCCGCCGAGCCGCTCGACATATGGCACCGCAAATCACGGTACCTCCTGAGCAGCCCCGGCCGCGGAGCAGCGGGGAAACGAAGGAAAGGCCGGCCCCACCGCGGGTACCTCCGCCGTGCGCTCCCCGCTGCCGCAGCGACCCAGCGGGGAAGAGGCGCGGGAGCGCACCAGGGGACCCAGGGCAGACGAGGGGCGCAGAGTGGCCCGTGGACCCTCAGTCCTGGTGCAGAGTGATAGAGAGCTGGCCCGGTCTTATCTGCCAGCCCCTCTCCTGAGCAAACAGCCCCTGGCGGACAGGCGGGCTGCGGCCGGGACCCTGCTCGCAAAACGTCCCCGGCGCCTGGCAGGCGAGAGATGCGCCAGAGCTGGACTGGTTACCATATGTTTTCAATAAAATAAGACAAATAGGACCGGGAGATAGGGATTGCAGTAAACCTGTTATAAATCAGCACAAACTAGGCCAATGTAAACGGCAGAAGGGCCCCTCCTGGAACGGCCGTTGTGTGCCAGCTACGCGTCGGGGCGCCCTGGCCAGGTGTGAGCGGGAGCCCGCTGCAGTACCCCCGGAGATTTTTATCACGTTTGTGGTAATATGGTGCTTGTTATGCTAACCATGAGTAAACATACCCGGCCGGGCTTTGTGGCTACGGGAGGGAGTTATCGGAAAGTGGCAGTGGGAAGGTGATTTAACAATAAAGTTGTCTTGTTTGCCAGCAGGTGATGTCTGCCCCCAGTCCCATGATTAATGCTTCCCAAAGCACTCCACTTTACAGTCTCTTGTAATTATTTATTAAACGAAATCTATTTATTATTATTTTAGCAAACAGCGGTACCAGGTGGGGCTTTCTTTTCCTCTTCAGCTTTTGTTTGAAGGACGTTTGAAGTGGGCAGTCTGAGGCTTGGAAACTCGCTCGCCAGATTTTTTTGTCATCCAATTGCACAGGCACAAAAAAAACCCTGCCGGGCCCTTCCTATTCATCCTCCCCTGCCCTGCGAGCCGCCCCTCAAGAAGGGGCGCCCGAGTCTCCGCGGGGGCCGCCCCCCCTCGGCCCCACTCCCCCGCCCTCTCAGCGCCGCCGCCGCAGAGAAGCGGAGCCGGCCGCCAGCCGCGATGCGCCTATGGAGAGGCAGCGCGCATCGCACCGCCCCGCACTGCCTCGCACCACACCGCGCCGGCCGCGGCCGCCCCGAGGGACGGGAGGCCGGGTCCGGTCGGTGTAGCTGCCCCCGTCTTGCTGCGGCCCGAGCGGACCGCTCCGGCCACTCCTAGAACCGGTGTCCCCCGCCGGGATCCGCCGCGACACTTTGGTGAAGTAGCGGGGGGGCTCCGGCCCCGCCGGGGCTGCGCCTACCTAGTGACCCTGCCCGCACCCCCGGGTGTGCCGGGCCGTACAGAGAAGGGTCGGCCCCGCAGCTCCTGGCTCCCTGCCCTCCGCCGGGGAGCGGTGCCCCGGGCCGGGCCATGTCCCCACAGCCCGTCGCAGTCAGTGCGCAAAAGTCCCTGGCACGTTTTGCGCACCGAGCCCCGGCGGCAGGGCTGCCCTCCCCGGGCCCGGCGCCGGGTTAGTAGGGCGGGGGTAGCTGGGGGCTGCTGCCGGGCTCTTCCTCTGCGGGACCGAGGCCCCGATTCCCTGTAAGGAGCAAAGACACAGAGGTGGGGGGGGGCTGGAGAACGGCGTCCCGCTCGCCACCCCCCGTGCTGGCGATCGCCTCTAGCAAGGCAGCTCGCGGTCGGTACCCGGGGCGCTGGGCTGTCCATGGCCCTGCGGGGCCGTAGGGAGAGGTCGTGGGAGGCGGCGGGGTCCTTTCGCTCCCCTCCGGGGTCGGAGGAGGGTCTCGGGAGCGTCCCGTAGCGCAGGAGCAGCGAGAGGCGCTTTGTTGCTGTGCCGCCGAGCCGAGAGGAGCCGGAATGGGGCCGACGGTACCCCCCACGGCTGACACAGAGGGAAACCCCGACTGTTCCGGCTGTATGGCCCCAGCATTTCGAGGCGCGGGACCCGGGTCTGACCCACTTCGCGCAGCCGAATCCTCGGGAGACCCCTGTCATCGCTAGAGCCTTGGGCCAGGGCCGCCCGCCCCGACGCCCTCCACGGCCACCGCGGAGTATCCGTGGGGGCGCAGCTAGGGGTCTGCGCTCTGCCCGGGCCCTGGGGAGGGCGGGCAGGGGCTGGCCCGGGGGAAGGGGCGGCGTGGGAGCCGGTGGGGTCTGGCAGGGCCGGGGGCGGGAGGTGCCGGGCTCGGCACGCTTCCGTGGGCTGATAAGATAAAAGCGTGCCAAGGGGTGGGTGCTGGTGGGGGGGTGCACACGCCGCCCGGCCGGGAAATCCGCATTGTCTGCCTGCCCTATATATATAGGGGCTTAACGGCAGTCGTGTGCCGGCCGCGCAACCTTTCCTGCCCGCTCTCGAGGGAAAGCGGGGAGGGAGGAGTGGGGTGTGCGGAGCAAAAGCCGCTCTCCTGCCCCGGAGACTCGCCCGGGCTCAACAGGTACACCCGCAGGGCAGAGGGCTTTCTCCCCGCCGGCCAAAGCAGGTTTGGCTTCGCAGGATGGCTCCGCAGAGTGACCGCTCGCCGGCTGAAGTGCAGCCCTATTTCGGTGCCGCTGAGGACGCTCCCTCCGCGCCCGGCGGCAGCTCAGCGAGCAGCAGGGGTGCCTCGCCGGCCCGCAGCGCCCTGACCCCGCGGGAGACGGCGGTCCGCAGGAAGGGGAAGGCGCGACGGGGCCGCGGGAAGGTACGGAGCGAAGTGCTGCTCATCAAGCAGAAGAGGAGCCGGCGCATGAAGGCCAACGACCGGGAGAGGAACCGCATGCATCACCTCAACTCCGCCCTGGACGCGCTCCGCAGCGTCCTTCCCACCTTCCCCGACGACGCCAAACTCACCAAGATAGAGACGCTCCGCTTCGCCCACAATTACATCTGGGCGCTGACCCAGAGCCTCCTCCTGGCCGAGCAGGGCCTGCCCGAACCTCCCCCGCCACCGCCCCCCGCCGCCGCTGCCTCCCCAGGGCCCTGGGACTCGTCCTGCCCCGCCGCTCCGCCGCCCACCACCCTGCGCCGCGGCCCCGCCGCCTTCCCCGCCTTCCTCTGAGCCCGCCGCCCGGCTGCTTTCCCCCCGCTTTTGGCCTTCAAATCACCGGCGGAGAGGAGGGTGGGCTCCCCGCGCTGCGCGCCGGGGGGCGGCGGCCGCTCCTGTGCCCCCTGCACCGTCCCGCTTGGCTGGAGCGCAGCGGGAGCGGGCGGACAAAAACAAATCGCGGTTTTATACACGGAATCGGTAAATTATATTAATTTGTCACTATCGGTATTTATTGATTATATTTAGTAACAAATATGTATTTTGTACATAAGAGTATTTTTGGCAGAGGTGGTCCAGCTGTTTGTATCTGGGAGGACAGCAGCGGCTGTTTTGAGTTTGTTGGTTTTGGCTTGAATTTTGAAGGAGAATAAAGTGTGTCGCGGTCAGACCCGTGCAACACCGTATTTTTTCCACCAAGGGCTCTCGGAGGGGGTGTCTAAATACCACGCAGCCGGTGCCGGGGCAGGCAGCGCCTGCCCTGCGGAGCCTTGCGTGGGGGACCCGGGCGGGGTGCCCGGTGCCTGGGCCATGTGCCCTGCGCGCGGAGGAGCGGCGATGGAGAGCTGCGCAGCGAGTCCTGAACTTGTGCGCACGCCGGTATGTGCCCGTCGGGGTCCACGCGTGCATTTAAACCGGCCTCTTTTTGCAGCCGCTGTGTCCCGCAAGGCTGCAGCCGGCCCGTGTGATGCCGCCTCCCGCCGTGCATCCGCCCTGTTCTGCCAGCCGCGTCCCGGCAAGGTGAACCTGCAGACGGTTTAGCCACCCCACGCAGACGGATTTCCAGTGCCAGGCTCGGCCCTGGGGCCCTGTCCCCAGGACACAGCGCTTCCGGGCAGCCTTGCCCCAGGCCGACCCCATCCTCGCCGGGGGAGGGTTTAGCCAGAGCAGGCGCGGGTTGTGGGAAGCGCAATACCTCCCACGCCACGGAAAGAAGGGAAGAGAAGCCGCATAAATCCCGCCAGCCCTTCCTGGTCTTCTCCTCCTAGGGACTCAATTTGTAGCTGGTAGATTTATGACCAGACTGCCTCCCCTCTCCGCGCTGCCCCAGCGGGGCAGCAGTCGCTAGACAAAGCGGCCCGCGAGGCCAAAAGCCCATTGTGATGCTAATTGTTCTCAGCTGAGCCCGTTTGCCCACGGCAAAGAGAAGCTATTGAGGCAATTTGTAGAACAAAAGAAATTTGGTTACTGGAAAAAAAGACCCACGCAGAAACACCCCTAAGACCCCTCTCCGGCACCACAACAAAAGAGGCGAGAGTGAAACCTGACCGGGTGAAGGATCCCGGGGCCTTATCCTGCCGTCCATCCCCCGTCCCGCCGAACTGGGGTGGACCGCTCGGCACCCCCTTCACTCCCCCCCACCCCCCTTCGTGCAGATCCCGCTTCCACGGAGCCCTGGGGTGAGCTCGGGTGGAGGTGAACCACTGGAGTGAGGAGCGCTTGAGTGATGGTGGGTGCGCGGAGCGGTGCGCGATGCGCGGAGCAGTGCTCTGAGCTGCCGCAGCGCTCAGTCCCGCACGTGCGCCGCGGCCTCTGGCCATGGTGCTGAAAGGCGGCGGCCGGGCAGGGCCTGGGCTTCCCCCTCCCCGAGCCTCTGCGCTCCGCTGCCTCTCCCAGTTTGCCCCAGTTGGGGTTCATCCTTCGGAGTCTGCCCCGGCGGGGCGCGGGGTCATAAGGAATCTCCCCAGGTGCGGACTCCCGACGGTGCGAATCCCAGCCCTATGCATCTCTGCTCGGGCTTGCTGGACTCAGCCCTGGAGCAGGCTAGCTGAGGAGTGCTGTGCATGCAGGTGGGCTGTGAGCAACATTGCCCAGTTCTGTGGTGAAGGGAGAGGTCAGCTTGGCCTTGGTGCTAACAAGACACTTTGCAGCTCAGAAAACACATGAGCTTGGTGGATTTTGGAGAAGCAGTGATCTCTTCTTGTACAGTTGATCCAGCCTCAGTCAATGGACTGTCCCACAGAGAGGAGCTGCAGGTGCCCCATGCACCTGGGAGAAGGAAGTAAGGGCACCGTGGTGCCAGTGCCGACAAGCAAGGCAAGCAGGTGTCAATTCCTTCGTGACCTTTTTGGGAGATCTGCTCCTTCTGCTTTGTCTTGGGACCCATTCATCCATGGAGAGCACCACTACTTTGCCTATTCATTGCTTCGAGGAGAAATACCTACATTTCTGGTGAAACACAGGCCATGGGGCAAGGCTGAGGACTAGGAAAAGGCTGTGTGTGCCTATCTCATAGTACTGTTATAGTCCTGAACGTGATCTATCTGTGTCGTAGATCAGATAGGCAGAATGAAAGACCTAATAGTATCCCTCCCCCTTCCCCCCTTTTCTGGCTGAATTGCGTATTGTTTTCATACTCTAACAGTCTGCAGAGTGCTTCAAGGCCTCTGTGTGTGGCCACAGGAGAAACACTGTGATTACTTGGGTGATAAAATCATTTAATGTTTTCCCTGCTAGTCCAGCTCCACTCTGGTATCTCCCTATGGGAGGTATCACCTTGCCCTAACTATCTGTGTGTGCTGCCGGACTGAGGAGGGTAGCAAACACACTCAGTCTACAAAAGTAGTATTTTTGAAGAAAAAAAAAAACAACAAACAAAAAACAAAATTGTGAAAGGGAGCTCAGTGTCTCTATAGGCAAGAAAAGAGGCAAGAAGAGCCTGAGAGCCCCAATAAGAGCAGGTATTACAAAAGTCCAAAAGGATGTCTGCACAGCTGTATTTTTGGAAAGTGGTCACTTTAGTGGGGTTTACTGCATTGCAGATTCTTTTCTCTGGAGGCTTAGGGTGCTTCTGGTCTTCCAGCCATGAGGCTAAATGCTGGGGGTGGGGGGGGGGGTGGGGGGGGTGGTGGAACGGGCAGGCGGATTTACTACCTCTGGAGAACTAGTGACTTCTTTAGGAGCTTGAATGCTTTTTTTTTTTTTTTTTCCTTTTTTTCTTTGCCTCCACATTATTAGGTTAATCATTGCTTGAACTGGTTGCTATGGTTTTGGCAAACCCATGGAAACTTGATAATGAAGACTGAAAGACTCCTTTTCCATTTATCTTTTCTCTATGTTTAGTGCATGATGGTCTCATTTCTCTTGACGGGGCTGTCCCAGAGCCAGTGCCTGGCCTTTATAACCATGGCTGCTGTAATGGCCTAGGGACTTTTTGATGTGGAAGAAACAGGTGGCTGCTGGGACCATGAGCGTTTCAGAGACAGAGGCTTGTGCCCTTGCATACATGCAAGTAACAGGTTGAAAACAAACTTAGCCTGGGTGCTGCCACATTTGGTTGCTGAAATCCCATGCAAGGTGGACTCAACTTTTATTTTCACAGCCAGGGGAGACTCCCTCACTACAAGCTGATGTTTCCATGCCCCCGACATTCAGTTTTAGGTTTTCTTCTCCGTATCTGCATCTTACTGCTGAACCCTACCTGTAGGGATATTCAGTGAACTCCGGCCATGCCTCCGAAGCAGAGCCTCCTGCAACTGCCTCACCAACGCTCTGTTCTGAACAAGGTTAAAGGGGATTGAGGATAATAAACAGTTGAAAACAGAGCCTGTAAATGATTTGCATGGCACAGACAGGCCATGCTCATTGCCAGGTCCAGGGAAGAGGGAACATCAGGGTCCTTTCCTCAATGACAAACTCATCCCCCTCCTCCTTGCTCTTGGCCGGCTCCCTCATGTCTGAAGACTATGGAGAAAATGAAGGTGATTCCCATAATCCCAGGGCAATTCCTTTGACCTCAGACCTCCACCCTGCACTCTAAATATGGCTTTAAGTGACTTGCCTCCTGCCCTCTCACATTGTCTGCCTCTGACATTGCAATCAAGTTTTCTGGCAGACGAGGCAGCCAGGGCTGCTAGCCACTGCCTGTCCCCTCCATGCCACTGGGAATCATTGGGGCATCCTGCAATCAAAGCGGACCCTCTTGCCTCCTCCAACTTACATCAGGGTGCCCTGGGGTCCCCCAGAAATGCTCCTGTGCCAGGACATGGCAGGATGCTCAGCTGTGGCTGCATGCCTGTCCTCCTGCACTGCCAGCATATTTTGGTGTAGCCACACTCACTGACAGAGAAAAGGCAAAGAATTGGGATTCTTTCACATGGTCAGCCCTCAAAAGTCTGCCTTTCCCCCCTCCTCCCAACTATAATGACAATCCAAAGAGTTCCTGATAGGGTTTTAAAAGATGCTTATTCATTCACTGTCCACCAAGCATGAAAATCCAGCTCATTTGTTCATTTGTTGCCATTCTTCGCCCAAACGACCCCACAGGGGCCGAAGCCTGTTGCCGAAAACTTGTCACTCACACTTTTAACTTCTTTTTGTTGTACTTCTCTTTATTTCATTCTTCTGGGTCCCCACCTCCGCCACCACCCCACCCTCTCCTCCGGTCACAAAGGCAAGTCTGGGAAGCTCTTTAAAGCTGCAGTGCCCCCTTTTAAAAATCAATACAAAAAAATAAAAGCAATAGCTGAAAGAAGATCCCAAGTTTGTGTAAAGAAGGGGAAACTCCATCCCGTCTGCACAGCACAGACGGGGAGGGTAGGAGGGGGGAGGGTGCTGAATGCCAGTGCCCCCAGGCTGCCTTCAAGCCCTGCTTGGGGTTCATATTGCGCACTCACCAAAAGAGTTGGGCCTTTCTGCATCAAAGGAAATGTAACCTAAAGGTTTAAGGGTTTTTTAAGGAGAGGGCAAAAGCATCATCCAAGCAGTAAGCTCTTCAAGGAGCAGTGGCTCCTCTCTCTGCAGCATCCCCTTCTCCACTCAGAGGCTTTGCAGCATATGACCTGTGTGTCAGCCCTGCTTTCTGACAAGGCTGACCCAGTGCAGATTGCCCCTTTGGAGTTATGGGATTCATAGTGCAGAAGAAAAGGACAAATCAATGTGTATTTCTATTTGGAACCGGGCTAGACTGTGCTAGCTAACCTCTGAGCAAGTCCTATTTGCTTGTGGATCCAAGTCCCTGGCTGTCAAGTTAGACTCTCCAGCTTAGACTATGCTCTCCCTCCCTGGAGGAGGAGGAGGAGTGCAGTAGCACCACTTACTTCTTCATTCCTGGACACACTGTGTCTTCAGGTGGGATTTACAACAAAAGCTTGGTGTTGGCTTTGCTTGTGCCATCGTGCCTCCCTGGTTATTCTCTGAGCAGGGATGCCCCTAGAAAACCCATGCCAGGGAAGCAGGAGGAATGAGTTTGTCCATAAGGCACTTGCTGGCACCTCTGCAGCTCGATGTACACTCATAGCAGTATTTGCTAGGACATGGGCAAGATCATGTTGCTGGGC